CCAAATTGCAGAGATGTCCTGGACCCTTATATAATATGGTGCAATATTCCCATAGAACTTCAGCACATCCCCCTGTACACTTCAGGTCACCCAAGTGATCATCTAAGTGATCACCTAACATCATCTAGGATGTTAAGTCCAGTACTTAACACAGCACTGATCTCATGCATACACATTGGGCTGCATTGTTCACATAGACCAAACCATCAAAAGTTAACTGCAGAGTGCAGAAGTAACATACAAGACACACAACATCATGACCACGATGATGATGATGATGAACCAAGGCTCTATGACCCAGGAGGCTGCAGAGGGTGACCAACACTTCATTTCATTACTCTGGATTCTGCATTGCACTTCTGCATTTTTGTTTTATGGAATCTTCTGGAAGTGTTTTGTTTCTGAATGTTTTTGATCCACAGTTGGTTGAACCTGTGGACACAGAGAGTTGCCCTCACCTTCTTTTGCATTAAATAAAATGCTTCCAATATACAAGTAGTCTCTAACAGGACAGAATTGTGAGATTGACTATGTGGGGGGGGGCACTACACTAAGACCATCTGCACCTGGAACTCCAAGAGTGATACTGGGCAACCCTGTCCCTATGTACCCTTTAGGAAGATTCCATCCTGCAGGAGTCCTCAGGCTGTACTGACAGTCCATCACATCAGGGAAGTCACAGGGCAGGAGCCTGAGGCAGCTGGTTACATTGTGTCCACAGTCAGGAAGCAGAGAGATGAACACTGGTGCTCAGCTCACCGTCTCCTTCTTATTCAGTCCAGGACCCCAGCCCATGGGATGATGCCACCAACATTTAGAGTGGATCTTCCCACCTCAATTAACCCCATCTAGAACCTCCCTCACAGGAGTACCAGAGGCTTGTCTCCTAGGTGGTTCTAGACCCTCTCAGGTTAACAGTCACTATTAACCATGAACCATCTCTGTTCTTCCAGTTTCTTAGGGATTCCGTGCCCACAGCTCCATCACTCCACCTCCCCTCCATCTTTACACAGCCTCCTTCTGGGTCTCTGTCTTCCTGTAGTCCTCATGAAAGGGCCCCAGTCATGGCTTCAGCCTCCACTAACTCTACCTTGCCTCATCCTACCTGGACCTTCAAAGACCTTATTTCAGATAAGGTCACACTCAGACACCAGGGCTGAGGAACTGGCCACACCCTGGAGGGACACAATTCAGTCCACATCAGCCCCCTCCCTTGTGAAATATAGATCAAGGGTTTATTTTCCAATTGCCGTTTGTATGAAGATGAATATAACTTCTGATGTTAGAACCTCATTTTATTGCTGTGACTTTAAAGTAGATGAAAACATCTTGCTAGTCCCTGAAGGTCTCAAGAGGTACCTGGCCCTGAGCCAGGTGAGACTGCCACAGAAACTGCCCCAGAGGCCCCAGCCTGTGAGTCCCCAAGGCTCCCTAGAGGGAGCATGCTTCTTGTACTGTATGCCATCCACAAGCAGCCCCTGGGAGGCATGTTAGGGAGCACCTGTCATCCAGGCATCTCTGTATAAGATCCTATTAGTGAAGGATGACCACTGTATGAGCATCTTAACTTGAACACCCCCTCCTCTGTGCCCTGAAGCAGGCCTAAGGGGCCTCCTTACCTGTGGGAGCCCAAGCTTGGAACACCAGACGCTTTCCCTCCTAGCACAGCTTTCACAATGAACCTTGACCACTTAAAACCAAGAAACGTACCTGTCTGCACATGCAGTCACTGAGCTTGTCCCAGTAGTGGCTGTGGGTCCCATTTAGATAATCCAATGGCCCTCCCTGCCCCTCTGCCACATCACCTGACCAATGTCTCTGCTCTCTGACAGAACGGACACCTGCAGCAGTGTTTGGAGGCCGTGCGGAAGGACTTCATCATTTTCAACCGAGAGAAGTAAGGTTCAGTTCCTCACTGAACCTCAGGCCAAGCCCATCCCATAAGACCAAGGACCCCAGGAAATATGAACAGTGACTGACGGCAGCCCTGGGGCTGGTAGGGAGAACACGGTGGAGTGTATATCCAGGCCTGGAAAGAGTCATGTTATTGGATTTAGAATTAGGAGCTGGGCTCTGATCCTGAAAGGAAGCAGGCTATGCTATGCTGAGGGTGTCGGGTGAGACAGGAGCACTCAGAGGACCTTGAGGAATGGTCCCTGTCACCATGATGAGGTGGGAATGGCTTCTCAGTGTGAGGAGGCTGAGAGCACAGAGCCCGGCTGGGTAGGATGTTCAGTGGGGAGGTGATGGTTGTCACTGCTGTCATTGCTTAGGTTGAAAGGTGGGGTGTGTGGGAACCTCTATCAGCTAGGCAGGTAAGACATGGGCGGGTGGGGGGATGAGAGTGACTACACACGGTCTGCCCTGTCCACAGCCACTCTCACAGATGCTCAGCACAGGATATGAATGACTCCAGCTTGGCCCCAACTGATGGTAGTCTCTGGGGGTTCAGATCTCTGTGGCTGGCTTCTCATAACAGGGCTCCCTTCAGCCTCTGATCCAGGCCTTGGGATGCCAGAGAAACTCAAAAATTTCCTCTGCTTGCGGAGGATTGTGTAGAGGTCAGTGCTAGCTTGACCCCAGTGCAGTTACCAGTATTCGCCATTTGGGATTCTGGTCAATGACAGCACATAGGGACTATGGGATGTGGAAGACAGCCCATGACAAGTTTCACAGCAGCACCTGGCCCTGCCTGGTGGTCAGGGAGATTCTGAAGATGCCATATCTGCTGAGTCCTGAGTGATGACAGCCAGAGGAAGGGGGAATGGGGATGAGCACTGAGAGGGGAGCAATGGTAGATGTAGGACCTCTAGATGGACAGGAAGCTTGAATTTCTAGAGAATGAAGAAGAGGGTCAATGACAGGAGGCAAATGACAGGGGCAGTGGGGTGCCAGTGGGGCGATGTGGAGGCAGAGGAGGTAGCAGCTGGCTGTTTATCCTGGGCAAGCGACAGCTCTGATGGTTGCTGGGTGCCCAGATTAGCCCATCCTCTTGCTCCAGCACTCACCTGCCAGAGGCTCACATACCCTCCAAATCCCTGCTCTGGCCACAGAATGGATGGGCCTCTGTGACCATGGCTCACCAGAGTTGGGTGACATGGGCTGACATTGTGAATGCTTTTGAGTCCCTCACCATCCCCCGATGGGCGGGCCTGCTCTAAGACTCACTGCCCTTCCCCAGCCTGAGGAGCCCAGGTTCAGGAGTCTCTGCTTGGAGACTCCCAGGACTGTGGGCTCACCTCGGGCCAGGCATCTGCTCAGGAGGGCTGAGAACTGTCCAGAGCGCCCAGCTGCAGACGGGTACCCTTGAAAGGACAGACGTGCAGTTCCCAAGCACTGCAGCTCATGTGTGCCAACAAAGCTTCTGACTGGGTTCTCCACACCCTTATTATCTCATTAAAAAAAAAAAAAGAAGAATGAGCTGTCCCTTCTGGAGCGGCTCAGGGACTGTCTGGCAGCTTTAACAGGAACCCAACAGCATGGTAGCTTCAAGAGCTGTTGCTGTCTTTCCTGTAAATACAAGTTGATTAGGAAAATGTAGGAGAGCCACGCAGTCGTGCTGAGGGCCCCTCTGAGACCCTGGTCTTGGGTTGGAGTGAGGCCAGCCCAGTTGGCAGAATTTGCAAACTAAAGGAAGTGAGCTGACTCCAGGCAGGGGAGTGGTAGGAACAGCATTTGTAAAGGCACAAGCAGGATACAGAAGGGGCCATAGCAGGTGCTATCGTGAGGGTCTGACTGTGGTTCCCCTCCTCCTCCCCCTCCCTCTCCTCACCAGCTAGATAAAGGAATCCAAGTGGGATGGCTTGGTCTTGTCCCCCCAAGGTGAAGCATCTCATGGCCTCCCCATGACAGGCCCCTTCCTGCTGTTTGCTCTACCCAGCCACTGAGTCTCAGCTGTGAAAATGCCTACTGAGAAGTTGCGTCGTGGTGCAGGGTCTTCCTCAAAGAAGGAGCTGTGGAACCCTTGAAAGCCCCTCTTATTGCTGCAGCCTCATATCTGAGGCACTCGCTGTACCGGTGCTTGAGTACTTGAAGATTTGGTGAAGAACCTTCTTCCTGATGTTCCCAGCGTGGTGAGTGGAAGGATGGACAGGGTGCTGAGCCAAGCTGTGGACCACACCCAGAACCTCCCTCAACATGGCCTTTCATCCTCACACACCTGCCGCCAGTCTAAGACAGAGCCTCCTGCTTGCTGTGGAGCGGTGGGACCCTGTGTCAGGAGCCATGTCAGAATCTAAAGGCCTGGGGTAAGGGACTGAAGAACTGGCTCAGCGGTTAAGAGCACTGGCTGCTTTTGCAGAGGACCTGGGTTTAGTTCCTAGCACCCACATGTCAGCAAACAACTGTCCATAACTCCAGTTCCAGAGGATCTGACACCCTCTTATGGCCTCCAGTGGCATTGCAGGACATGGGTGCACTCACATACATGCAGGCAAAACACAGACATAAAATAAAAATAAATATAAAAAATAATAAAAGCCTGGAATGACTGTTAAGGTGACCACACCTGTCTAAGTTATCCCATGTCCCTCCCTAAAAGATGTGCTGAACCCTAACCCGAGATACCACTGAAGTTGGCCTTGTTTGGGAATAGGGTCAGTGCATGTGACTAGTCATGCTGGAGTGGGGAAAGGCCCCAATCCAACATGAGCAGTGTCCCAGCAAGAGATGGCATGGACCCAGTGAGAAGGCCCTGAGGATGAAGGCAGCAGCTGGAGGGATGTGTCTGTGGCACAGCAGCTGGACAGAGGCCAGCCTCCCTCCCAGCCTGGGGAGGAGCCAGCCCCGCACACACCTCACTGGTGGCTTCAGGAACTGTGTGTGACATAAAAGGACCGGACGAGGTTCATCACTCTGTGATGATTGATATCGACTATCAACCTGACAGAATCTGGCCAGCCCAGGAGACAGACCTCTGAGCATGTCTGTGAGTACGTTTCTAGATTGAGTTAACTGAGGTGGGATGACCCACCCTAGCTATGGGCAGCACCATTCCACTGACTGGGATTCCAGCCTGAACGGCAAGGAGAATGTGAGCTGCACACCAGCACCCATCTCCCCCTGCCTCCTGACGGCAGACGCGACGTGACAGCCTCCTCACACTTCTGCCGCCATGCCTGCCCCAGAGTGACGGGTGGTAGACTGCATCCTTCCTTGAACTGTGAGCCACAAGAAGCTCTACTTCCTTTAAGTGCTTTTATCAGGTATTTTGTCACGGCAATGAGAAAAATGATGAACCTGCCCCCACTTCCCACTCTAGGAAGTGTCCGACTTGGAAACCCTGGGCTTCTGAAATCAAGGCCCATGGATCTCGGTTCCCTCCGGGCTTTGAAGAGAAGCCACGCAGTGTACAAACCTTGATTGCACGGGTGAGGATAGATCCCTAAGACCACCTCCCGTGCTCCCACTCAGGACATAGCCGACTCCCCCGCCTTCCGTCCTGTTCCTATCAGTTCCATGTTCATTCCGATTCCAGACCCTCAGCCAAAAAAAAAAAAAAAAAAAAAAAAAAAAAAAAAAAAAAAAAAGCATGACACGCGGCAGGAGGCAAGCTACTTCCCCGGACGGATGCGGGACCAGGTCGTCACAAGAGCCCTGAAGCGCCCCTATCGTAGTAGTGGACAGAAAACAGCCTTGCGGGTAGCAACACGAGAAAACAGGCAAGGGCAGCCACGAGAGCTTCAGAAACCCAACAGCCTCCGTAAAAGCAATGTCCCAGAGAGGCCCTCGGTCCTCCGCTGTCACCAAGGGAAGGACAAGCGTGTCAGCACATATCTGCAGGTACAAAACGGCCAGGAAGGGTATCAAAAATAATGCCATCAGACAGCGGGGACAATTCACGGACTACTGGGAACTCTTGGAAGTCCATCTGGGTGACCTGTCCCAAAAATGTCCCCAATTTCCAAGAGAACCGGCGCTCACAGGAACATCTGGTCGACCCACTTGAGGGAGGGACCGGCAAAGGCAAAGGGTAACATCCCAGTGAATGAAGACCTTAGGGACACACTTCCACGACCATCCGGGCCCAAGGTACAGGCCCGACATCTTAAGTCCGCACGCAGCCGCAAGGAGGCACCCTTACCAGGGCCGAGATCGGCCCCAGTCCCCAGCTGGAGGATTTCCCTGGCTGGGATCCTGGACCGTAAAGGGAGCCGAAGAGCAGAGTGCATTCATCGTTCTTGACTGTGTATGTGATGACCGGCTCCCTCCAGCTCCAGCAGCTGTGACCTCCCCACCATGATGGACTATAGCTTGGAAGTGTGAGCCAAATAAACCCTTTATCCTTAAGGTTCCTTTGTCAGAGCATTTTATCATAGCAACAGGAACAGAAGCCAAGACAGAACCAAGGGGAATGTGTGTCAAAGATGGGCTATCAGCAGGATGCTCTGAAGCAGGCACAAAGGACACGGGAAACTGTCTTGTGTCATTTTCTCCTGCTTAACCTGCTGTTTTATATCCAAGCTTCTTAGAAAGAAGCCATTGACTGTCTGAGCACCTCCAGGGTGAGTTACTATAAAGCCCCTCTGGATGAGGGTGGCCCCACTTCCAGTGACACAGGAAAGAACTTCATATGAGGACACAGTAATACTACCATAGCCCAGGGGACACGTAGGGTTGCCAGCCGCCACCAGGATCTGGACGAGGCAGGGAGGAGGTCCCAGAGCTTTCTGAACCTGGGACCTCATGGGCTAAGTGGGAATAAACACAACTACAGCAATGCCTCCTTTCCATGAGGCTATTGGGAGCAACCATTGAGGCAAGGAAGAGGGCCACCGGGTCCGTGAAGCCTGTGGAAAATGATGAAGGCGGAATGCTTCGTTTCTGAAGGAATGCCTCGCCATCAAACACAGGAGCTCCGCCTCCCTGCTGACTCCAGAGAGACTCCACTGGAACAGA